CATTCGCTCTGCTTGAGACACGAGCGCTATTCCTGTCCCATCAACCCCAGCAAGCCCGAAGATGAAGCGAAATCTCAGGCGAATTCACCCACCGTGTCCGAGGACACTGTCAGCATCGAACCCAAGTCAAAGGAGCGCCAATCTCCCAGTGACCGATCGTCCGCCGACAAAGAGGCCCAAGAGGTCATTGACGAAAAGGACGACAGCCCCGTGCCCCAAGCCAAGCGTGCCAAACAGGACTCTAACAACCGCACTCACAAGGCACCCGAAGACGCCAGCCGTCAAATCGACGACGTGCATAGTGCTTCGCCCGAGATTGAATCCGAGGACGTAGACATCGATTCGGATGATGCCAAGTCTGAACCAAGCAGTCCTACGCTGGCCCAGCAAGCTGCCATGTAAAATGCTTTGGATTGGGCTAACCCGGAGGGGTTTGCGCTGCGCGCAGAGCCTTCCCCTTGCCCCCAATCGATGAGCAGGTGGCAATCTTGCTTCTAAACGACTCTTTTTATTGCGCCAGTCTGCATGTTTGTTCTGATTCTCATTTCGAATGAGAGGTTTCTTTTTTGTCCGAGTGCGCCAAAGGGTTAGGTTTGAATTTTGACGTGCATCTCTACTTTGGGAAGCAGCTTGTATGCATCTGGACGGGTGCATGTGTATATCAGAGAAAGTGTGTGTCTGTGTGTTTGTGAGAGGGACAGATTCGTGCAAAGGCCTTGTGCTGCCAGAGACGTCAGCCAAGCACACAATCTTAGTTTGAAAATCAATTTAAAACCACGTAGGCCAATTCTTTGTGCCCATCATTTCTCACCAAGTCTCCTCGTCCTCATCGCTTCCATCAGCCCTCGCCTGGACGTCAGAGGTTGCTATCGCTGCGCCCTTTGCGTCACAATCGTTTGAAGTTGCCTCTTGATCGTTGGCTGAAGCCTTGGGGTTTGGTTCATCGTCTGAGCCAGAAGTGCCAACGAGCTCTGGTTCTTGATGAACTGTTGATCTAGCCGGTTCAGCCTTGGATTCTGTTGATTGCTGTTCCCCGCTCTCGGAAGACTCGACCTTGAGGATTTCAGTCTCAGAAGCGTCAGTCTCGGGAGCAACGGTCTCGGGAGTGTCAGTTCCAGGAGCGTCGGTTTCGGGAGCATCGGTCTCGGGAGCATCGACCTCGAGGGTTTCAGTCTCGGGAGCGTCGATATCGGGAGTGTCAGTCTCAGGAGCTTCCATCTCGGGGGCCTCGGTCTCAGGAGCTTCCATCTCGGGGGTCTCAGTCTCAGCAGCTTCAATTTTGGGAGTGTCAGTCTCAGGAGCTGCCATCTCGGGGGTCTCGTGCTCGGGTGGGTCGGTCTTAGGAGTGGTATTCTCAGAAGCTTTGGTCTCGGTGGCCTCAGCCTCGGCAGGCTCGGTCTCGGGCTCATTGGCTGCATGTCCGAAGTCCGTCTTGAGTTGCGGCTCTTCAACATCCGCTGTCGGGTCTTTTGCGTTTGTGACGATGCCAGATGCACTTCTAGCGTCTGGTAGAGGATCAGACTCGGATTCTGTTGCTTCAGTCACCGCCGCAGCGCTAGGTGCTGATGCCGAGTCTGCTGCTTTTGGTTGGTCATCAGCCTTACTGGGAGTGCCGAATAGGCTAGCAAAAAAACTAGGTTTGGCCTCGGAGGACGGGGTTGCGGGTGCCTCCATGTCTGGTGTAATACGCACAAATTCAGGAATAGTAGGAGCCTGCATGCCGAAAAAGCGTTTGGAAGAGGATCAGACACAGCGAGACCTGTTGACAATCACCCGAGTCGTATCGGCAATGTACGATTGATGCACCTCGATGTTGCACTTCAGGCTGGCATGTTGCCGGCCCAATGCATTGAGCTCAGTTTCGCTCCGGGCCGCTGTGGTCAAATCCTGGGTCATATCAAGTGTCGATGAAGATGGTATGGCTGATACTGTTGACCAAGTTGGAGAAGAAAGCGAGAAAGGCGAGGGACGACAACCATAGAGGTGGGGGCTCATACCATGCTTGTTAAGGCAGTAATGGCGGTTTTGGTGGCGGATCGGACCGTTTGCACACGGCTTGCCTCGGCATCCTCCAAGCGCTGAGGGTTTCAGCCACGGAAACGCGATCAGATAAGGAAATGAAAGTGTTGGGCATACGATTGAACTTGCACAGCCAAACAAGCCTCGCAGGCTTTGGTGACGCTCGGGGAACAGCAAAATGGTCGTCATGCATGGGCACACCTCGAGAATGCCAGGAAGCACCATGTTAAAGGTTTGCTTGTGCAGCTGGGCCTGTAATCAACGCAAAGCACGAAATGCGACAAGGGCATGAACGTGACAGCACGAGCAAGCGTTTTTCTGGCGCGAGAATGTAGCGCACTCAAGGCATCTGATCATACAAATGTGCCAATGGCTTGCTGATAGTCTTCTTCGTCCTTATCCTGAGCCAGACGGGTGCGTGCGATGAACAAGCGTGGGGAAATTGTCGTAAAGGGGGGGGATGGGCAAGGGGGGCGGGGGGCCAGGAGGCGGGAAGTCACGGGCGTACAAAGGCGGGTTTGAGGCGGGCCTTGTCAGTCGTACGACCGAGGTCTTCGGCACTACGAACGTAGCGTCTTTTTGCCTGGATGGATGCGGAATGGTGAGTGTTGTGCAAGTACATGCAGGTGAGAGCAGCGCGCGGGGCCATGGCACCGTTCGGCCGACTGACGTTGAGCGCCCGCGACTCGGCGGCGCTTAGGTCGCGGATGATACGCCGACACTCATTAATGCTTTCGTTCTATGACCAGGAAGCAAGGGTGCCGGCAACTGTCAAGTCTCCGATATCACGTCAATGGCAGCCCTCATGACATTGTGACCCACTCGTTTTGGTGCTTCCGTTTGGCCGTACTGAAACAAGGGCTTGCAGGCTTGGTCGTGGATGGCGGTGGCAACTGTTCGTTGTTCCTGTTGTTGTGGGAGGATGGCACGTTGACGAGTTTGAGCAATAGCATGGGTAGCTGCCAGCTGGCCAGCGAATGTCTCGCCATGGCGGACACAGACCTCAACAAACACCAGCAAGCTCTCGATGGTGTGGGCCCAGGCCCGGTTGACTTCGCTGCAAGATGGATGGTTATCAAGAGTAGCAACGCGTGAGCTGCCACGCGCCCTTTGGTCACATTGCATCCACTCTTGGGCCAACTCCATCTCATCAACCTCCTCCTCCTCCTCCTCCTCCTCTTCCCCCACCTTCCCCACGCGGTTTCGATCAACAACAATCCGCTGCTCTCTCTCTCTCTATCTCCCTCTCTGAGGGGCTGCCCGTTAAAAAGAGGTGTTGTCGGAACGTGGGGCGTACTCAATGGGCTCAACGGGCGTGGGGCGGAAGAGTCGATGCAATTTGGCTGCTCGAGCGCCACAAAGCTCCTCTAGATTCTTGGCGTACGCTAGCTGGATCTACGCACGAGCCGGGGCAGCATGTGAGTACGACCACTTCTGTGGCCGCAGGACAGACGGGCTGGGCAAGGCAAGACGGGTGAAAACCTTGTAAAACTTTTCCCAAAAGGCAAACATGAATTCAACAGACTCGTGACCATCTTGCATGCGTTCGGCTAGGCCATCGAGAGCCATCTGCCAGGGGTCCACAGGGAGGGGTGAGCCGTTTCGGCCCTTGTGAGCCGCCAAGCTCCTGCCTCCAACGCCACACGCTCACCTGAACGCCCCCCAGGGCGGGCTCGATGGACGACATGGTGGAACTGGTCGATCACCTTGCACAAGCCCGTCAGTCACAAATCCAGCTCGCTCCAATGCCTCCCTTGCATCTAACCCAACTCCTGCTGCCCAGACAAACGCCCGCGCACACGCACACAGCACAGTTTTACAACTCTGAGTGTGTGTGTGTGTGTGTGTGTGAGAACGGAGAGAGAGAGAGAGCGATTGTTTTCGCGCCAGCGCCAAAAAAAAAAAAAAAACACCTTTAGAGAAGAGAGAGAAGAGAGAGAGAAGAGCAGAGATGATGAAGAGAAGAGAAGAGAAGAGAGAGAGAAGAGTGAAAAGAGACACCACAACAAAAAACTGTTCATCAAAGTGTAACATATGCTCCACTATACTCTTCCATCCAATCAGATGACATCACACACACACACACGCACACACACACACACACACACACACACACACACACACACACACAGACAGAGCGCCAAATGTCAGACAAATCGGGGCAGTTTGTGCATTTCGTTCGTTCGTTTGAGCGTTTGAGCGTTTGAGCGGAGGGCGGAGGGGCAGCGGGTTGTCGTCATGGCGTTGTTGGGAGCGGATGCGGTTTTGGCTGCCATCACCTATGATGCGCGTCCGTTGCAGCGTTTGTTGACGAGTGGGGTGCCACCCAAGGTTCTCGTTCATCTGTTGGCTCCTCAGGGCGAGGTAGGCTGGTCTTTGGCGTGTGTTTTTTTTGATAGAGCTCCTGCCTCACCCTGTCGACGCTTTGATGGTGCAGGATGAAACGGCGCTACACCGAGCTGCTGGCGCCGGTCAGGCCACGGCCGTACAGCTCATACTGCAGGTTGAAGGGGTCACCCCCAACATTAAGGGGAGCGTAAGTCCTTTCATTTGCCTGCTGTGCTCCCCATACGACCCGAGCTGACGGACACACTTGATTGTTGTTGCAGGGGGGCATCACGCCACTTCACCGGGCAGCGGACGGCAATCATGCTCAGGTGGTGGCTATTCTTTTGGAACATGGCGCCCGTATCAATGGCCGTGACAGGGTACGCCCGCTCTCCCCTTGCCTGGTTCCATGTCTGACGCGCGTGACGCTCTTGTATCCATATTCATTCTCCCCGCCTCCCGTCACGTCCCCGTCAAGTAGACGGAGCAAACACCACTGCATTATGCTGCGCAGCACTCGGACGGTGACGTCATGCTCCAACTGCTTCGGGCCAAGGCCAAACCCAATCTCAAGAATAAGGTGAGCCACCCCACTCGGTTCTGGCTTTGTTCGCCCCTTGTACCCCATCTTCATAAGCTCATGTGCTCAAGCAACCTCCTGGTCAAATCGTTTTCCACGCTTGCGCAGATGGAGCTGACGCCCTTGCACATTGCGTGCGTTCGCAAGAACTGGCGCCTCATGCGTATGCTCATTGAGCACGGCGCTGACCCCAATCCGTGCAACTTGGTGCGCCTCTCGCCGCTTCAGCTAATCAGCAGCACACTCGGCGGGCTCACTGCAGCATGCCCTGGTACTCTAGAATGAAGCCATTCCGCTCCATCAGGTTGCCCTCGTTCGTAATACCGAGATGGCTACCTTTCTCCTCCAACACGGCGGTCTGGTCAATCACGCTGACCGGGTATGCTCCGCCACAGCCACCAATGACCATCGCAACATTGCCTTGCAATGGCGATTGTCTGCCATGCCCGCGCTCTTCTCCGCCTGTGCTCACGTTACCCAACTGTGTAGAATGGCATGACCCCGCTGCATTGGGCGTGCTGTGCGGGTGGCTTGGACATGGTCAAGCTCTTACTGGCCGCGGGGGCTGACGCCGGCATTCGTTCTCGGGTGCGCATGGAGTGTTCCTGACCTCGTGGCTTGCTTTGGCTTGTTTCGTGGCCACGTTGACCTTATCCCACCCCTTCTGGTCTTTTGCCGCACTCTTGGCTCAGGCGGACATGCTGCCGCGTGATTGCGCCATGGAGCGCGAGCAAGACTCGCTTGTGAGCTGGTTTGTGCAAGAGGTGCGGAGCAAATCGTCATCGTCCCTTTTTTTTTTTTTTTTTTTTTTTCTTCTCCCTGCCGACCTTGAAGCATGCCTCATCGGGTCGACTCTGGTTTTTTGTTTGGTTTTGTTCAAAGGACGTCAAACGTTGGCTGCTGGTCGCGCTGGTATTGCAACAGCACCGCGGGCAGCACGAATGGCCTCTGCCTGCGAACGACGTGCTTGAAGCGATTGCTCAATACACGGCTGCACTGGAGCTCGAGGAGGAGCAGGCTAGGCGAGAGCGTGTTCGCCTGGCTCTAGAGGCGCGGGGAGGCCTCGACCTCAACCTGTACGAGTCGAGTGATTCAGACTCGGAGGCATCTTCCAGCGATGTCTCTGATTCGGACAGTGAAGAAGACCAAGCTGTTTTGGCGGCTGCTGGTTCCACAGCAACCGCAGGCGATCAACCCCCGCCGCCCTTGCCTAGTGTTGCTGGTGATACTGCGCCAAACAGCGTTGACGCATCCAATGCTTAAATATGTGGGCGTGCCTCACCCTCTCCTTCAGTGGGTCATCCACTTTGCACTCTGCACGACCTGACCATCTGTAAACGATCCCTGACAAATTGAAACCCTTGAAACCTGACATGCTTGTTTTCATGCGGTGGTCAGAAACCTGCCCCTATTATTGTGTTCACCTTCGAAGCACCGACGAGCCATGTACAAGGGAGTTTGTTGGCTGCCTCAACCCAAAAAGACCAAGGATAATCAAAGGTGTAGATGCTGTCGTCAATTGTCTCGGATAAGGACAACTTAGAAGCCGTACTGAGCAAGAGTCTCGGTGTGGGACTTGACCTTGTCCGCAACGTTAGCCTCGGCCTTGCGGCGCAGCGCGGCCAGCTTCTTCTTCTGAGTGTAGTACTCGGCGGCCTTGGCGCGGCGCTTGTCCTCAAGCGTCTCGACAATGTCCTTGTAGCGCCAGCCGAACTCGGCAGACAGACGCTGAACAGTGCAGAACTAAACGGGAGGAAGAGGAAAAAAAAGAAGGCTCATGGGGAAACAGGCATTTGGTTCGAGCAGAGCAGGAACAACATGAACACAGCCTAAATAAAAGTGCTATACAAACCTTGCGTTCAGGCTTCAGGCGGATGACCTTAAGCGCCTCAGGCACAACCATCTTCTTGATCTTGTCGTAGGGGGAAGGGACACCCTCGAAGACTTTCAGGCGCTTGAGAGCCTCAGCACCACGGGGGGTCTTGTGGGGGACCATACCGCGCACCACACGCCAGAAGATGCGAGAGGGGGCACGGAAGTGGAAGGGACCACGCGCGGGGTTCACGTTGCAGCGCTTGCGCAAAAACTCCTTGTACTTCACTGTATATACATGAGAAATGTGAGATGAGGCAAAGTGCAAAGCTTGGAGCTGAAGCGACATGGCAATGGGGGAATACAGGAACGTACGCTTGTTGCGGTAGAAGCTACCGGAGATCTGCAGGAGCTCGCTGCGGACGACCACAACGTTCTGGCCTGAAAAAATGAAAAGAGTGGCGTGTGTGTGTCAGAGTGCTTCAAACGCGCCAACGAAGATGGCAAGGCAAGGACGAAAACTGCTGTGCTGGTGGTCAGCAAAGCACAGGGCACGGCAGAGCGGCTGCGACACGTCAAGGCCAAGCCAAAACGCTCGAGTCGACCGGAGTTGCACACAACTTCCGCGCGAGTCGACCGACATGACATCTAATCCTCAACGCTCGCCCTGCACCGTGCCACAGTCTCAACCAGCATTCCAGCTCCCTCCAAAGAGGCAGTTGAGCGTGGAGCTGTACCACCAGCACAACTGCTATCGTATCGGCGAGACCTGTCGTGGCCGCTCTTCATTTCATGTCTCAAAACTACACACCGTTGAGGATCTGCTTGGCGACAATGGACGCCAGGCGGCCCAGAAGGTGGCCGCGACCGTCAATGACGATCTGCTTCTCGAACGAGCAGCTCATTCTGTTTAGCGCGCGACCATAAATACACAGGAACCAGATGCCAAGAGGAGTAGCAGCAGGCAGCGCACACGGGCATGAGCTTTGGTACACGACGCCTCACACCATGTGTTGGCATTCACGCAATGCGCCGACCAAGTTCTTGAAAAGCAACGACCAGCAACACCAAGGTTGACTGAACAAAACCAAACCATCACATAGGTAGCCTGATCTAGCTGCCCTTGTATCCCCGACCATCATCGACGCTGCCCTTTTCAAGCGCTCACCCATCCCGACCCGCGAGCGAGCGAGAGAGCGAGCGAGAGAGGGCGACGAGCTTACGTTGCAGTGTGGGGGAAGAAAAGTGCATGCGAGTCAAGATTGTATTGGTTTGATCTAATTTTTGGTTGTTAGAATAATACACATGTTGTCAGTTTGATGACTATAATTTGACCCCCATTTCGACCCTGAAAAAAGTCTGACGATTCGTCGGCTATGGCATGCTCGCTATTGTTTGGTTTTCGACTTGCGACCTGGAGCTTGAGGGGGCGGGGGGAGCTGGCGGGGGGAGAGGCAGCGTATAAATCGGAACAGGCAGCAGCAGGGGTCACGATGAGAGCATGGCAAGGGGGGCGGCAATGATCTGATTGGAGAAGAGGAAAGGATGAAAGAAAGAAAAAGGATCAAAGTATTCATGGATGAAAGAATCAAAGGTAGAGTCAATTGGAGCACGGCGTCCACGCGATGCGATGCGGTTCTTCACCGCAAGCAGCAAAAGGAACGGAGGACCAGAGCAAGGGGCAGAGGTGAAGGAAAAAAAAAGGAAATTGGGGCACAGCCAGGAGGAGAGCCTATCAAGGCTCGCAGAAGCACAAAAACAAACATTGCAACATGTATCAACGACGCTTCCCCGCGAACGGGCGCTGGGCTACGTTGACGAGGCCCCGCAGGGGCGCGCCACGAAAATTGCCAACGCGGAGGCATGATCATGCAAGATCAAGAGAGAGAGGGAGAGAGAGACAGAGTAGGAGGGAAAGGCTAACCAAGGACCTGACTCGCATCCCAAAGGCCAGACAGGTCCCATCGTTCGCCCTGACGTGCCCCTTTGAAAATGGCAAGTCATGCCTCCCAGCTCCTCCAGCCCAGTCAAGTGAGACAAGGATGGGATATGAACATGCAGTAGATCCAGAGCCAGATTGTCAGGGGAAGGCGAGACCGGGAGATGGCGAGGCGCCGTTATGCGTTCTTGGCGGCATCAAGAGCCTCTTCCTTGAAGCGAAGGCCGACATCGACCCAAGAGAGGAGAGTCGAGGCATCACCACGAGGGATGTTGAACTGCTCGGCCAGCTTTTCCGGGGAGACAGAGGTATGAAGGTCGGTGGCTGTCAAAAAGTCGGCGAAAGCATCGGCACGGGCCTCCTTGTCCAAGCCATACTGACAAACAATGCGGCGAAATTCACGGGCGTGGGCCTTCATCCGTGTCTCCTGGTCCTGCAGATCGACTTCAAAGCCGAGCTCGGCCCAGCCCCGGCAGTCATCCTTGTGCGTCTTCCAATGACCCGTCTGGCATGACCTGAAAACACAAATTCATCCCACGTTTCGCGAGGTCCATGAGCTGAATGCGTGTGTGCGCGCGCGCAAGGGTGGGGTGACGTGGCGGCCCAGCGCCTGGCAGCGAGTGACCCTACTTGGAGCAATAAAAGAGGGTTTTGCATCGCGCACACTTCATGCTGCACATGTTGGTGCATCCACGAGCAGCGCACATGCCCGTTTCCGGGGTTCCAGAACCCGCCTCGGATGCCATGCTGCTGTGTCTCTTCTGGGAATCACCGTCAAGCACGCGCCACACGCGACCCAAAACCAACTGGTGAGGTGTCCAAACGCCAAAGTAAGCCAGGGTCCAGCCAAAGAATCCGCCCCGATGCTTGTCGCAGGCGCGCCGCACACATACTTTGAAGTTGTTGCCGAGAGAGAGGAGAGTGAGTGAGAGAGTGAGAGAGAGGAGCGAGAGCGCGCGAGAGAGTGTGAGAGAGAAAAGCGCCCTGGAAAGTTCGCCACACACACACACACACACACACAAACACACACACACACACACACACACACACACACACACACACACACACACACACACACACACACACACACACACACACACACACACACACACACACAC